ATTGATATTGACTCAGAAAACATGTTCTGCTCTTTCCAATCGGAAACATGTTTGTGGTCAACTTCAAGCCTTGTATGCAAGTGGACTTCCTTTCTTGTATGGGTTTAACGTCGTTGGATCTCCTGCAAGTGGTCTCCTTCTAATTGTGTTTTCCAGAGAGTTCTGAGGTATCACAAAACGCTGGTCACCTTTTATGTGATCCTTGCAAATATTTTCTGGTTTCTGGAGTTATTGACATTCAACAAAATTGTAAAACCTGCATCCCATGATGACTTTTGGGATGACTAGGTATTTGCAAGAATAGGAAAGCAAAAATAAGGGGATAGACCTGAAAAATACGAAGGTAGCGTCCTACAATTTCTAGATTCCTGAAAGGTGTCAGCTTTGGAAGCCATATTAGCACCAGACGCTTCCACGCTGCCACATTCTTGAGCCTGGGAAAATTGGGAGGGAGGATTTCTTGGAGTGTATGTGGTTCGACATAACAACATTCTTCTTCTAAGTCAAGGTCATGTTATCTCTGCACCTGGCTGAGAGGACGTCTCAAGTTGGGAAGGATGGTGATTGGGGCATGTGATGCCATGAGGGGTGCAGGGGGTGGATTTGTAGTTTTTACTTATTGCAAGGAAACCTGGAACTTTCAGATTCAGAATTTCCCAGATGTGCCAATTTACTACCCAAATAAAACAGAACTTTGCCCGTCTCGGAGTTATTTGTTGGTGTGAAGGTTTTCTGGAATGCTGACAAAAAGGATGATTACCAAGAGAAGGGAACGGTGGGATCCTTGGTGCTCTCTGAGCCTGGTTATAGTTCCTTGCAGATGTTTCGTTACCCAACTAGGTAAGGTCATCGGTGCTAAGAATCCAAACTAGCACGGATGACATTACCTAGCTGGGTAACGAAATGTCTGCAAGAAAACAACCAATTTCGAGAGCACCAAGGACCCCACAATTCAACCTAAGCTGTAAACATTTTCTTCCCTTGATTCTTATGCTGATTTCCACAGTACGCCGTATTGGAAATCGGAATAACAGAATTGGAAGGGACCTTGGAGGTCTTCTAGTCCAACCCCCTGCTCAACCAGGAGACCCTATACCATTTCAGACAAATCCACTGTGGTTCTGGAACACCCAGCGACTTAGGACTTGGCCCCAGGTTTCTGTTGTTTCAGTATTTTTAATGTGCTTAGTTTTATAGGTTTATTGTGGTTTTATTTTATTTTTACTTTGGATTGAGAGTTGTAAGTTGTAAGACGGAGGCTGTATCAATGTTTTAAGTAAATAAATAAAACTTGAGAGAAATAAAACTCAATGATCAGTAAATTCAATATTAATAAATAAAACTCAAATAAATAAACTCGGTTACACACTCCAGCCTCCAGCCCATTTGCATCGTCTGCCATCATGTTCCCACCCTGGGAAAGGACGTATCAGGATCTACAACCATTTATTGATCACTGAAATAGCGACTTATGTGTAGTCTTCACACTTATGACCGTCCCAGCATCTCCGTGATCATGTGACCAAAATCCAGGTGCTTGGCAACCAGCCTGCATTCATCCACAACCATTTCAGAGCCCCAGGATGAAGGGATCACCCCTTGTGACCTTCCCAGCCCGCTTCCTCCAAGCAATGGGGGGGGGGGAGCGGATTCTGATCACGCCCGTGTGATTTGCTTAACAATGAGCCGTGATTTGCTGAACCACCATTGTAAAATTGGCTGGATTTATTTTAAGTGCCCTGCTTAAGCGGAGGAAATTCTGGTCGCAATTGTGGTCGTAAATCAAAGACGACAGGCACTAATCATTAAATATTATTAAATCACGTTATTAAATATTATTAATCATTAAATCACCTAGTCATTAAATAATTGCAGCCCACCGCTGTGTGTTTTTTGGGAGGAGGGAAGGCAGGAATTTGGAAGTGCAACACACCCCTGTCCAAAAAAAAAAAAACAAAAAAAAAAAAAAACAGCCAGTGAGATTCATGGATCAAATGGAGCAGAGGGTGTTCCCAAAGTTGGTGGCTTACACACCCACTGCCGTGATATATTCCAGGAGCTTTTTAATCCCAGCTGCAAGAACATCGGGAGTAGTTGGAGGTTCCACCTCGGTTAGGTTGGTTGCCGGCGTCTCCAAGTTGTTGGGGTTCAAAGAAGCTGCTGCCGTCTGGAACTCCTGACTGGGAAGAGACACCCAACGACAACTAGCAGCTACAAGCGATTGAAGAGCCACCCTTCCATTCTCTGGAACATCAACTAGAACATCAGTGCCATGGCATTCCGGTCGTTTCCCGTGGTGTCCTCCCAGCCTTGCACCACCCAACCGTCCTCCTGCAACCCTTCGTCCAACACCAGACAAGGTCAAGCCCCGTATCGGGACTGGAAAAGCAGCTTGACGGACTGCTGTGCGGACCAACAGATTTGTGAGTATCTCCCAAGGACTCGACCTGGGAGAGAGGGGACCCCAAGCCCCCCCTCCCAAATTTCTTCTGCTAGACCAAAGCCACCTTTCCCTTGGGCCTGGCACCCACTTTTGGGCCTGGCACCCACTGGGAGATTAAGAGGAATTTTAACATTGGAGGTTCTACCAAGTAGCACCACAGGCCAGCCATCCTCACCGCAGAGAGGCGGCTACGGGTAATCCTCCACTTACGACCACAATCGGGCGCCAGGTTTCCGTGGCTTAAACGAGGCCATGGTCGAGTCAAGCCTCATTTTTGCCACCTTTGGGGCACTTGTCGTTAAGCGAAGCGCTGCCACTGTGAAGCAAATCGTTTGGTCGCTAAGTGAACCTGGCTCCCGTTGCTAAATGAGGCCGTTGTTGTGTGAGCTGTGGCTCCTTTCACCTTCTTGCCACTGTTGCTCAGCGAATCACTGCAACTGATTCATGAACCGTTTGGTCATGAAGCGAGTCATTCGGTTGTTAAGCAAATCTGCCCCCCCCCCCAAATTGACTCTGCTTGTTGGAAGCCGGCTGGGAAGGTGACAAAGGGTGATCCCGTGATCCCAGGACAGTGCCACTGCTATAAACAAACGCATGCCAGTCGCCACATGTCCAAATGTTGATCACATGGCAACGGTAGCGTGAAAAAAAGCAAGTCGCCTTTTGTTCGGCGCTGCTGTAAACTTTGGTCACTAAACGAGTGGGTTTTAAGTAGAGGATTACCAGTACTTATCAATTTTTCCCCAGTGGCATCCTTGTTTCGCTACTCATTTAATCACCTGGGAGCAGTGGCGGTATGCTATCAGTTTGGCCTGGTTCAGCCAAACCAGTAACTCCGAGGATCATCTGTGAGCCAACCGGTTCGCTCCAACGATCAGCTGTTGGGACCTCCGTCTAAACCAGGGATCTCCAACCTTAGCAACTTTAAGACTAGCGGACTTCAACTCCCAGAGTTCCTCAGCCAGCTTTGCTGGCTGAGGAACTCTGGG